TTGAAGGCTTTGGTAGATAAGAGAAAAGGAGGAGAATGCAATCGAACAATCAGCAGAGTGGTCATGATTCTGGGAGTGACTATTTTTCCGATGTCGATTCTCAGTGCAATTTCCTTCTAGCAATCGTGATTTTGCTTTTTAGGAAGAAGAGCATAGGCGGGAAGAAGAACAATGAAGGAGCGCATGATTTCTTCAATTTTGTCGTGTCACATGGTCAAACAGGGTCAAAGCTTACTAATTGTGGATGCCAAGTTAGAAAATGATGGGTCCTAATTATGACACATCAGCACAAAATGGAAGAATAAATGTCGAGATTAACAGAGCAAGAATTTTGCCCCCTTAAAATATAATTCAAGTAAAAAATTGCTTCACTTATTAATATAGAGTGTCTAACGCTCTTAAAAAATGAATATAAAGCTAAAATTAAACTTTAATTTTTTTTACAATATAGCATGAAAGAAAACAAAGTGCATAAGCTAATTATTACTCACATTGATTAGTGTCATGTTCGTTTTTTCACATTCAAATTCAATGAATGATGGACAAATAGTAAATGAAATATCAAAATTTTTCTTTGGTCGATATATATATATATATATATATAATTTCTTCCATTTGATTTTGGTGAATAAGAAAATTTGGAGTAAAGTAGGAATGTAAAAAATTATTTTATCCATTCTCTTCGTTTTTTTTTGGTGCAAAGTAAAATAATGACTCTACTTTATATTAATTAGTTTTTGGATGGATTGCACAATTTTTACTTCATAGTCCCTCAAGTTTATGTTAATTATCAATTTAATTTATTAAATATAATTTTTATTAATTTAATTTTTTAAGTTTATTTTGATTATCGATTCAGTCCTATTATTTAAAAAGAAAGTTACATAATTAAATTTGTTAATATTGATATAACAAAATATTAATGACAATCATGTATATTGATGAAAAAAATATAACTATTTGTGTAAGAAAAAATCAGGCTCTAAAATTTTAAAAAATAAAAAAAAACAAAATAAGTGTAAGAGATTAAAATGATAAAAATTAAATTAATTTGAGAATTAAGTTGTTCTCAATTAAGTTACATATATATATATATATATATGTATGTATGTATGTATGTATGTATGTATGTCAAACTATCAATATATTTTATATATTATACTATTTCAAGAATTAATTTATATTTTAAAATTTAAAGGACTCATATAATAATTTAAGAAGATATAAGAGACAAAATTAATAAAAATTAAACTTAAATTATTGAATCAAAATGAAAGCAAACTTAAAAAAAAACTAAAAGTTTTATTATCCTCCATTGTTTATTCTCATAGATTGCATTTTACTTCAGCATTTTTTCCAAATTTGCCGCAGACAAATTAATTTAACAATTTTTATTAGAGAAAATGATAATAAAATTTTTCTAAAATGTATGAGTTTTAATTTAGTTTCTTGAAATCTCATAATTCTTCTAAAGTTTTTAAAAATTTTTCTGTGATTAATGAATTTATATAAATTATGAAATTACTCTTGTTGAGAATAAATGATTTATAAGTTTTGTTTAAATATTTATAACTTTTTTTATATTCACAATAATGTAAGAGCAAATCACAAATTTACAAGTTAATTTCTTATTTGCTATTATATTGTTGTGAATATAAAAAAGAAAGTTGTGAATATTTAATAAAACTTATAAATTATTTATTTTTAATAAGAATAATTTAATAATTTATATAAATTCATTAATGATAGAAAAGTCGTTAGAAACTTCAGAAAAATTATTATATTTTGAAAGAATAAATTATTATTTATAATTTTAAAATAATTTTATTATCTTTTTTTTATTAAATGAACCTAATTTTGGGGGAAAAAACAAAATCATGTTTGTGACAATTAGTGTAGCGGACTAATAATCCAACGAAAGCGGATACCTGCCCAGTGCTATTTCCCATGAGCTACATTCTTTTCTGTTTCAATTACAAATATTGATGAAATCAATTAAATATGACTGGGAATATTATTTTTTAAAAAATATAAAATTTCATAATTTTTCATTAATAAAAAATATAAAAATATATATGCTTAAAAATTGAACTAATAAAAAATTTGTAATAAATTTTTCAATGAAAAATTATTTTTTATTTAAGTAAGAAAATATCTTATAAAACCCATGGACAGTAAAAATACAGCTGGCGACGATGGTGCCTGGTTTTACCACGTGTCAAGACCTGATTAAGTGAGTCCCCGGGTGCCAGCCCTGCCTTCCCGCACCTCGCTTTCCTCACTCCCCACGTTCTCCTGAAGCCCATCTCTGGGACCCATCGAATTATCCCCTTCTTCTTTACTTTTATTTTGAATACTCAAATTTCAACACTAGATATCAACTAATTGTATTTAAAATGTAAATAATGATAACAAACAAAGTTAATTAAATTAGCAAGAATACAACCAATACTTAAAGCAATGATCTCAAAATCATCTATAGCTGTCTTCATCAGCTCTAACAAATTAAATTTAAGTTGCCTAAATTTTTTTATTGAAAAAAGAAAACAATGTTAGTTGATATATAATAACAAAGTTATTTTTTTTATTTTATTTCTTGTTTAATATATATGCGCGAGACAACTTGGAAGTGTTTATCAACATGTTGCCAACTTTTTGGTCACATATTTTGACTAAAGCCTCCATCATCCATGTCATGGTCTCTTTGAAGGTTTTCAAAATTCAAATACTACACAGGAACACACTGTATGTGTAGCCCCTTGATTGTTCCTTAAACCAAATTTACTTTTAATTTCTCGTTTTAATTAAAATATAGTACAACTTTGTCCATATTCCTTGTAGTTAAATTTTTTTTTTGGGGTACTAAAAATATACATGAACCAATAATTAATGAAGAGTACGGTTATCACTTTTGGCTGGCAAAGATTGCATAGGTGAGTTCTGCTTCTTCTGACATCGCATTTTTCATGCACATAGAACTCTTGACGACATGTTTAAGAAGCTCAACTCCCTGCCAACTGTCAAACTGTGAGACCTTGTTCATAAATCAACACGATCAATTTTTTTTTTTTTCACCGAGACAATCAACGATGACTAATTATCTTTTTTCTGAGACATATAGATCGCTTATAAGTGGATTTTGTTTTTCTAAGACATCGTATTTTTCATACATTCTTAAAAAACTCAGCTATATATCTGCCAATGTGTGAGACCCTTTTGGTAAATCAAATTGATACTTCAAATTTTATTTGTTTTGAGAGAGGCAAAATGTTAGGCGAGATTGATGAAAATAACTATTTTATTTGATATGCTTCATATCGTGAAGGCCTTGTGTAATGGACCAATAAATAAAAAATATTAGGTGTAAATTTTTAATCCTTAATCTAAGAAATTTGGGAAAGTCGTCACTCGTTAACAATTTCATTAATGGGGTTGCCTTACCATTAGTCAAACCATTAATATTTAAAGCACTGGTATTAATATAATGAAATTTTTCTACCTTGAAACGACGATCGGTTTTAATTAAAAAAGAGACAGAGGGAGATTCTCCAGCTCAATGTATGAATAAAGATGAAAGCAAAAGGCGGATGGATCCCAGTGGGCAGTGGGAAGACCTGAGTGATGATAGGGATAAATTCGTAATTTGGTAGAGTTGAAAGTAAGAAGCGCGTTGACATGTAAAGCGAGCTCCGACGCACATCCAGAGGGACGGTGGTTTGTTTTTTCAAAAAAGTGAAGGGCAGTTTTGTGATTAGACAAGTTCAACTAGTGCCGCCCGTCCGCGACGGCAGTGGCATATATGCAAATAAGAAATTACATCCTTTTTGAAAAAATAAATAAATTACAGCTGTCTTTTCTTATTTATTTTTTCCTACTGTTAGGCTGAATTGAGAATAGGATGGCTGATGTGATTTTTTTAATATTAATTTTATATAAAATATTTTTTGTTCTCAAACTTTAATACCATTAGTTTGATCAAATGATAACTTTCATGTTAATTATTATTATTATAAAAAATTAAACTTAATATATTAACATTTAAAAATATATTGTTGACATTTAAAATTTTTTTTGTTAATTAAATTAATGGTATTAAGATTAAAGTGTTAAAAAAAACACTTTATATAATTAAAAGATTATTAAAAAATCTTATATAAATCTAAGGGATTAAATATACTCCCTCCGTTTGAAAATATAAAGTATTTTTAACTGAATTTTATTCCTCAATAAAACAGTTATCTATTTTTCAACTAACTTTATCTTTTCATATTTACTTCTATTAAACACTATATAATAAATACAAAGTCATTATCAATATGAGCACTTTTGAAAAAAAATAATGATTGCACTTCAAAGATTAAAAATGCCTTACATTTTTAAACATTCAACTCCTCAAAACGAAAGAAGTATACTTTTACCTATTTTTTTCACGTACAATGTTTGAATTGAAGATATTCCTTTAGTCTTATTCATAAAGTACTTTTAACATATTTTATCAAAACTAAATAAAACTTTAAAATTTATTAATTTTGTTCAGAAATTTAATATTTTTCAGTTTTATGTCTATTAAATATACATATTTAATAGTATATTTTTTCTCTTCAATAATGAATAAAGATCAGATGAGAAAATTTGTGATAAAATTTAATAAGGTAATTTATAAAAAAGATAAAAAAATCTTCTCTCGGAGGAAGTGTGTGTTATTTGCGGGCAATCAAGTTCTTTTTATTCAATCAAATTACATTTGAAAAATAACCATGTTTGTACTACAAGTAATTTTTATAAAAATAGCCATGTGATTGTGGGTAAATAATTTTGGAAGTAGAGTTTGGGGAAGTTGACATTTTATTGCATAAATAAAATTTAAAAATTGAATTATACTATTTATATTTATAAGCTTTTTCTTTGGACCAGAAATATCCATTAGGGAGAATCAATTAGAATACAAAGGGAAAATGACACATACTTTTTAACTATATTTGTTTTATACATAAATTATAAAAAATCGAGCCTTCAATCTTTTTCGATTTATGTGTGTCATCTTCATGCAGGGCCATACTAATTTTCTCTATATCATTCCAATTTTATTGAATGTCCTTGGAGGGACTGAATTTTCAATCTTTTATTTAAGAGACAAGAACTCATACTATTTGTTCTAAATTGGGCTTTAAACAATATGGTTTATTCTAATTTATTTGATAATACACTGGAGATTAATATTAATACTATGTATGATGGATTTATTTGTTTTTTATTTTATAAATGAAGTGATATTCTAAAATCAATGAATTTTATTAAGTGTGAATTTACGGGGGGCGTAGAAGGAGGGGAATGAGGAATCTGTGAGACAAAAGAAAAGAAGGTAGTTGGAGGCGGACGGTACGTTGAAACGAGAGTGAGAGTGTGAAAGAGTCAACGAATCAATAAATGCTTTCACACTGTGCTTCCCCCCTAAAGTTCCTTCTTGTACGGCTTTTCATTCCCTCCCCGCCATGATTCGCGCTCTTTCATTCACTTGTACTGCTGCCGCGCTTTTTTTTTTTTTTTCTCTTTATAAAAATTTTTTAACCAAATCATCAAAATTAATATAAATTAGTTAAAATAATAAAATTATCTTAAAAATAAATTATTTTTTAATGTTGTCCTTATTCTTAACAAAACTGATTTTAAATGTAAAAGAAGTTTTTAAAATTAAAATATTACACTTTTTTGTTAGAATTTGTTGAAGGGTGGTTTTAGAATTATACATTAAAATTTATTAAAACTAAAAAAAGAAGTAGCTTATATAAAAGATCAAGAAATTTTGCTAGGAGATGACATGTAAAAATGGTAGGACAGTGTATTTTCTTCTTCCCTTAATTTTACACCAGTCTTTTTTTTTTTTGGTTTTGCTTTCTTTCTTATATCCTTAATCTTTGACCTAGTCATTGAGATAATTCATTAAGTATTTGAAAAAATTACACCTAAGTTCTACAGAAAAAAAATTTATTATCAATAAATCTTATAAAATTTAAAATACTCTCAAGCCTCAACTAGCAAGTTATAAATGCTTGTTGTTTAATTAGTAAATGTCATTTATCAAGTTATTAATGTTTAGAATTTGAGATTTGAGAGTATTTTATAAATTTTATGAGACTTTTTGATAATAATTTTTTCTGTGGGATATAGGTGTAATTTTTCTTAATTATTTTTTATAAATATTCTTTAAATATGATTTGTTTTTAACCTACAACGAATTCTCACTTGACAAAATATATTTATATTTAGACACGAGGGAGTGTGAATATTGTGCTATTATTTCAACTCCGTATAGCATAATCGATGAAAAACATGTTGATGCGTCCGAAAAAGTACAAAATACACGAAGGAGCATTCTTTGAATTCTCTTGGTCACAACGAGGCAGGGTGGAGAGGGCATATAGAAAGTTGAGAGTTCAAGTTTGAGCATTTCAATGCCGTGACCAACTCACCTGATTAATTTCTTTATTTAAAAAATCCTTAAATTTGGCAGGCAAGAAAACATTTGATTAATTTTCAAGATGCTTTATTTAATTATTTTCTCTCCTTGTTAATAATCTGTATTATGAGTTAAGTAATCAGCTTAAATTATATATAATGCTGAGATTATCTCACCAATGTACATGGTTCGGTGACTTCGGTCAAACATCGGCAAGGAGAAGAAAGTAATTTTAATCTGGAAGAAATCAAAATTATACTGTCACCGAACAATCGGATTGAAGATTGACTTTTTCTGTTTGTCATCATCATTATTTTGCAGCAACTTTTTATCGTTATTCTAAATTTAAAAAAAAAAACGAGAGGGAAAAAATATACTCCGAGGAGCTAATGGCTTGAGCGAAATAGTATTTGAAAAAATAAAACTTATAATTATCAATACACTATAAAAAATATAATAAATCACCTTTCAAAGCTTCAGGCTAAGAAAAGAACATACCAGGCAAAAACTCCAACAATGCCGTGGATTATTTTTCAACTTTATAACCTGTAATATACATGGTAAATGATCTAAATATTAATAATTTCTTATTATCCGGAGCCGGATTCTCAAAAATAATATTACGAGTTTACGACCACTTGCCATATTGCTGAAGATGGATTGGGACATATTTTTGGTCGAGAGGTAAGACAGAAGCAGGATTGGGTAATGAAGTTTTGCTTTCTTTGAATACTATGTATGTTTTGTTTACTGTTTGTTTTTTTGTTGCTGCAGGTTTTCTTTTCTTTTTTTTTTTTTTTTGTTTTTTGCTTCTTGGCTTTGCCAGTATTAGTGAGTGCAATATTTTTTTCCATATTAATAAAATTGACTTTTATTGGTAAAAAAGCAATATTATGAGTATTCGTTTTCATGTTCAAGTTTACGAGATTGGAAATTTCGCAAAAACTCTGCAAATTTGTCTCGTCATGATCCACGTAGTTGGAGTTCCTAGCGTGGATAGTGGATACCAGAGCTATATTCATTTACATGCATGTAAATTTTAGTTTGTACCTGGACATTCCTGCTACTACCTCTTGTCGTTGTTATTTTTTCCTTGAAAGATAAAATTTTCTTTCGACTCTCACTTCAAATTATGAGTTTTACACACTTTTTTCCCTAAAAATTTCTTTTTTTTTTTGGAAGTACTCCCTCTTATCTTTAATATAAGACGAGCTCTAAAAAAATCTTTTTGATCTTTAATATAAGACAAGGTTAGAGTAGCTAATGTTTTTTTTTTCAAGTTTCACTAATTGTTTATTTATTTTTGTATGAATTTCTATACGAAAATTTATTATTGTTATTAATTGCAAGGAAGGGTAAAATTAAAAAAAATTATATTTTTAAAAATATAACTATCATTTTTTAATATACATGAAATTGATTAACTTTGTCTTATATATCAAGGAATGGACACGAAGGGATTGGAGGTAAATTAATTGAATGAGGATGGAATTAAATTATAAAAAACCTACCAATAAATTGAATTTAGCAAAAAAGGTTAGTCTCACTAGTACATACAGGAAAATCTACACCAGTTAAAATAGCTTATCTACACTAGTTTAATAACCGGTGTAGATAAGACCGGTTTAGATATCATGAAGTTATCTACACCGGTTATTTAACTGGTGTAGTTAACAAATATATCTACACTGGTTATAAAATTCGGTGTAGATAACATCAATTATGAATATATATATATAATTTTCTTAAAAGTTATCTACACCGGTTATAAATATAACAAGTGTAGATAATCTATATATCTACACCGGTTATTCGTTGAACCGGTGTAGATAATAATATACCTACACCGGTTATTGTCATAACAGGTGTAGATATATTATTATCTACACCGATTATTCGTTGAACCAGTGTAGATAATAATATATCTACACTTGTTATTTCAATAACCGGTGTAGATATTTGTTTTCTAAGTAAAAAAATTTTTATTTTTTTCATTTACCCCAACCATTATAGGTTGCAATTTAAATCCTGCATTAATCAAACATATAATAGCCAAATAACAATTAGCCAGCCAGACAATCGTATATTGTTTAAATCAAATGAATTTAAAATTATGTACAATTTCAAACACATAAAATATAAATTGTCAACTAATTAATCATACACATAACTATATTTACTAATGTTTACAACTACACAGTTCACTCTTTCAAAGGATGATTATTATAAAGATCGAACATGAAGAGTCTCCAATGTTGCCTTATTTGATGGATCTCTGAATCCGAAAATGGAGATGGATCATTGAGCATCTGAAAAGATTAGAGATAAGGGAATTAAATCAGTAATTATATTAGAAGAAAAATAAAAAATATCTAAAATTACATTTACCTCCTCAGTGAACTCAGTCAAGCCAGCGGTGATGATATTGTATGCATGTCTCAACACATAAAAGCCGTACAAATTAGTAGGGGGTTGTCGACGGCTCTATGGAATAACACAGCATTGTCATAATTATACTGAAAGAAGGCTCTATCATTAAAATTACATAAAATAAAAACATGTATAACTTGTTACCTTTGGTGTTATCCATGTAGGATCCTTGACATCACGTGGGGCCTTACCCAACCGGACTTGCTGGCCAATCCTTATAGCCCTATCATTAACATGACATAGTTAGTAACTTAATGACTAAAACATTTTATTATAAGACTCCTTAAGCACACTTACTGCTCGCAAGATTTCTTCATCGTCGGATTGAGTTTACGATGCAAAGAGCATAAAAAGATTATAGAATTGCTCTTCATCGAAAACACTATCAATTGCCAGTGTGTACTGTAAAAAAAGTCATTTAGGTAAATATTCGATACCATTATGAATAAATTCAAATATATTTACTTACAGATAGAGAAACATGAAAAAATAACACTCATTTCTGCCTTCACTCAGCCTCTGATTCATATAAGCCTCCTTTGCCTCTTTGGTGGTCTCTTTATCATTAGTGTAACATGGGCAAAGAAATCCGTATTGTTTGTCTTTACCTGAGGAAACTAGCAATTGATGCAAAAACCTACAAAAATTAAAACAAGTTAGTTTAAAAAGCTGAATTGTTTAATTTCATTTAAATTTACAAGAAGACACTTATATCATCTCAATTTGGATGTTCGCCATAGTTAGGTCAGTATCAATGAGAATCCGACGGAGGTCCTCATTCTCAACAAAGATTTCATAGTTGCTTAAGCCAGCAAGATCAAGATTCGCTTTAAAACACCGAGGTGGAAATGATCCACCATATGCCATCAATACAAATCGATCCCATAGACTTAGCTCAAACAATTGTGGCTTTTGACCCACTTTATGGGACGATGGGGTTTCTTGTTAAATAAAAAATTAGTAACATATTCTTAAATATAAAGAAGTCATTAAAATTAATTAATAAAATTTGTTACTGGATCTTGAGGCTTCCCAACAAGTTTTTTTGGCCATAAGCAAAAAGTACCCTTAGCATCTTTCACTGTCTTGATCTCATCAGTGGGGAATGGGATAGAAGCATCATCGATTTTTACCTCTTCAACAATGACCTTGACAACATCTTCTTGAACTTCCTGAAAGTGGCATTTTGACCCCTCGTGGATGTAACCGTGTGCTACTAA